ATCTTGAACGACTTTACTTTACTTAAGACCCAAACCAGCAGGAAAAAGAAAAGTGTAAAGATAAGAGATAAAACAGAAAATAGAAAAATAACAGGAGCAATCAACAAAACCAAAGTTCTCTGCAAGATCAACAAAACTGACAAACTTTTAGACTGACTAGGAAAACAAAGACAAATTACTAAATTCAGAAATGAATGAGAACATTACTGCTGACCTTACCAAAAAGGGGAATTAAAAGAGAATACCAGGATTCCCTCGTAGTCCAGTGGTTAAACTCTGAGCTCCCAATGGAGGGAACATGGGTTCTATCCCTGGTTGGGGAACTAAGATCCCACATGCTGTGTGTCCAATAAATAAAATAAAACAGTTAAAAAAAGAGAGAGAGAATACCGTCAACAAATGTACACCAACAAATCAGATAACCTACAGGAAACGGACAAATTCCTAGGAAAATGCAAACTAACAAAAATGACTCAAGAAAGAAAATCTGAATAGATCTAGAACAGGAGACTGACTCAATAAACAAGGAAAAACCTCCCAACAAAGAAAAGCCCTGTACCAGACACCTTCATAATTGAATACCACCATACATTTAAAGAAATATAAACACAAATCCTTCTAAAATTTCTGAAAAACTTGAAGAGGCAACAATTCCTAGTTCATTCTATGAGGCCAGACATCAAATGCCCCACGGTCAGAGAAAACAGCGTAAGAAAACAAAGTAACAGTCCGATACACTTTATGAATATAAATGCAAATATTCTCAACACAAGTGTACCAGTGTCCTAGGGAAGTGATAAAAATTTCAACAAATTAGGTAGCTGAAGAAAAAAGAAACACACTCTCTCACACTCTCAGTCCTGGAGGCCAGAAGTCCAAACTCAACACGCCTCTCTCCTCCCTGACGGCTCAGGCAATCCTTGACACTACTTGGTGGACAACCACGTAACTCCAGTGTCCACCTGAGTCTACTAATGCACAGAAAACACGTGGAACAAAGCGACATGTTCGTTCACACACACACACACACACACACACACACACGCATCTAAGATCGTATCAACAAAGTGTGCTGTGGACAAACACTACAGGGCAAATGACTCGGGTACTGTTTCCCATGAGTAAACTGGCAAAGAGGGGAAAAGGAGACCACAGAAAGACCTAAGAGAAATATCAAGATATTGCAGTGTATGTACCTTATTTGAATCCAGCTTATGGACCTTTGTGAGATCCTGATTCAACAAGTATAAAAGAAAACAGGAGACAATCAAGAAATTTTGAACAATGACTGCACATATCATCGATTAAAGAAAGCCGTGTTAATTCTTTTTAGGTGTGATGATATACTGTGCATTTTTAAAATATCCACGTAAGTTAAAAATGCTCACAAAATTTAAATGCTCAACAGAAGACTGGGATAGGGGAGGGTAGAAAGGAAACAGTTGGCTATGACTTGGTCATTGTTAAAGCTAGATAACAAGGTAGGGATTCTCTCTACTTGTATGTATGCTTGAAAATTTTCCATAGTAAAACTATTTTTAATATATCTGTAAAAATTTATCACTTTAGTATCTCTCATGTCCATTCCCTCATTTTTAACCCTCCCACTACTTCTCTCAAACAGTTTCTCAGTAAATCCCTTGGATTTACTGCAATAAAGCAAATTCCTATCTTTGTGGAATGTAGATTCCAACATCACAGTATAAATTATAGGACCTCAAAATACAAACTCAGATGGTAAAGAATCTGCCTGCAATGCGGGAGACTCAGGTTAGACCCTGGGTTGGGAAGATCCCCTGGAGAAGGAAACAGCAACCCATTCCAGTATTCTTGCCCGGAAAATCCCATGAACAAAGGAGCCTGGTAGGCTACAATCCATGGGGTGGCAAAGAGTCAGACATGACTGAGCAACTCACACAAAATAGGAATAATCAAAACTATCCTTGAAAAACAGCTTTTAACTCCAACAGAGAAAGTGCATGCTATTGAACATTGTTATGAATATATAACGATGATTTATTCAAATTCTTCTAATTGTTCTGTCAGATAGTATCTATCAACGGCCCTCAACTCATTTTAAAATTTCCTCTTCAAGAATATAGATAAGCTGACACCACCTCTTGCCTGGCCCCTTCAATTGTACACTTCCTGTCTTTGACAATGATGGTTGGGAAAGCCTTAAAATCATTCACAAGAGATTTCCATATAGGTTTGGCTAGAGTTCAGTCAATAAAATGGCAGACTGAATTACCTCTACAATCGTTTTTTCTATCTCTTCCTATGTCTCTGATTTTAAGTATGTTAAAAGCACACAGGATCCAGCTACACCTTTCCTTTTTATAGTTGGTCTGGTCTCATACCCTTCTAACCCATTCATAAGGCTGTCAGAGTGATCTTTCTAAAACAGAAAACTCATGTTACTCCTCAGCTTCAATGGCTCCTGATAATTATCAGAACCAAGTCTTGAACTAAAAGGGGGGAGGGGGAGAAGAAAGGCAAAGGGAGAAAGAAGGGAAGGAAGGCATGTCAAGACTGGGGGAGGAGGCTGGAGGGGAGGGAGGGAGGGAGGGAAAAGACAAGCATGGGAAAGGGAAAAGAAGCTCCACCTCTCAGAAGGCCTACCATTCAAACTTTACAATGCAAATCCCTGATACACCTGCCTCTTTATCATTTGCTTCTCCCTTTGCCTATAACTCACTTTCAACACAACAATCTATGCTGAAACACTTACCTTCAACAAAGATCTATGGAGTAGTTGACACTGAAGAAAATCAAAAGTAAAAGTGAGAAATTCCTGATCATGATCACTAGAGAAAGAAAACTAAAACTTGGAACATAATTTTCCAGCATGAAAACTGGTGTTAGTTGCTAGGTTGTGTCTGACCCCTTGGACTGTAGCTCACCAGGCTCCTGGAAAAATGGGTATTAGATATACAGTATCATCAATACTATACATCAGGCACATTGTGGGATTTTGCTAACCACTCTGCAAATACAATTAGCATTTCTACAGGAAAATGCATTTCATGCTCCAAAATAATTTTGGAACGGAATTTAGAATCTTTTAAATACACACCAAATTTAGACTATAACACAGATGGCACTGCAAATCAATAAGGAAAAATGAACTGAAAGAAAAAAGGAAAGAAAGAAAAAAGAAGTCATAAAAATACTAGAGAAGGTACTCCCCTGGTGGTCCAGTGGTTAGAACTCCACATTTCCACTACAAGAGGCACAGATTCAGTCCTTGGTCAGAGAACTATCCCACATGCTGTGCATTACAGCCAAAAACAAACAAAAAACAAACTTAGAGGGAAATGTGAAAGCATTCCCTGTATAACTTTGGAGTAGGGAAACTGTTTAACTAATGGTTCAAAATATCAGAAGCCATGACACATAAGATTAATAAATTCAACTAAATAAAAATCAAAACCTTCTGTATGGATAAAAACCCCAAGAGTAAAGATTAACAGCAAGAATGAATCATCAAAAAAGCCTAATATATGAAGTGCTCCTATGAAAGCTCCAACAAATCAAAAAGAAAAAGATCAACGACTAAATAGAAAAAGCATATGAAGAGATCACAGAACGGACAACATGAATTGCTCTTAAAAACATGAAAAGATGCTCAGATTCAGTCATAATAAGAGAAATGCAAAATACAAGCTCTGAAATACTTTCACCTACTGGATTACCAAAGACATGAAGAATAGGTTTTCATTCATTACTGCTGGGAACACAAACTGGTACAACCACTAAATGGAATGATTTGGGAATATCTACCAAAATTAACTGCAAAATCTCTTCCATCCAACAGTTCCACATCTGAGAATTAATAAAAACCTACAGATGTCACTGCATACAAGCAAAATGACATATATACAAGCAGTAGTCATAAACACAAAAGATTAGAAAGTCCATCAACAAGTGACTAACTCCATAACATGCAGTAATAAATAAAGCTCTATACTGATAGTAGATAAACTGCTTGGGGAAAAAACTTAAGTTGCAAGACAGTATGCATACTATTAGTCCATTTGTATTAAAGTTACAAAAATAAGTCTCCTCATATTTATTGGTATATGCAAAAAAGTAATAGAAACTATGCTGGTGGCAGAAAGTTTACTGAGAAACTGTGTAGATGGTTAACAGAAGTAGGAGGGTGGTTTTGAATATTTAAAATTTTGGATAAAGTGACTTATGGTCTAAACATTAAATTTAAACAGATATATTGCTAGCCAAAAACACTATTTTTTCCTTTTATTTACTTGTGTCATGACACTATTCTATGCCAAAAACGCTTTATAGAGTTGGCTGCCCAAAATGGAAGTACACACTAACAGTGGCTTAATTTCTACTTTTTTGAGATTCATCAGTTACTTAATTTTTATAGTATGCCACAAATGAATAAATCGATGCCTACACATTTAAGAATGGTACTGAGCTATAAAGAAACATGGGACTTCTTTGAGAAAGGTAACTAAAAATGGAAATGAAAACTAGAAATACAAAAGAGGCCTTAGGAAAACACATCAAAATTTAAGGGAAATCAAATTTATTTATATACAAACAACAAAGATCCACAGGATGTCAAAATTAACATTCATTAGAAACATCATTTGTCTAGCAATACACAAAAGAGGGAAAAAAGAATCTAAAACAACAGATTTTTATCTCTAACCAAGAAAAAAAAGTGGCTTATTTTCCCAACAATAATTTCTAATATAAGAAATTGTATCCATTAAAAAAAAAATTCTCAAGATTTTAATTAGAAGTATATGAATCATCCTGCACTAAAAACACAAAACAAAATATACCTAAGTTTGCCCAAAAAGTAGAAAAATTGTGCTTCAATAAAAAGAAAATTCATGAATCGCACCCAATACTGATAAAAATTTGAGTGGCCATCACTATTTGATATAAATGAATTACCAAATATTTTAAAATACATCTGCACTCCCGTTCTCAAGAAAAATTTTTTCAAAATTTTCTGCACTTACCGCCATTATCTGTTCTTTTTAAAGCTCCATCCTTATGAGGACACAGTTCACATCTCTATTAAAAGGGGGGGAAACAAAGAGATTTTTCAGATTACCAAAGTATAACATCTTCCCCTGTAACTTCAAAACTATTCAAAATGTGGCAGGGGCATTTTCTCTTAGTTGCCACCAAGAATAATTCAGAAAGATCCTCACCAAGTAATTCTCTGTGATAAGTGATCATCCTCAGAGTACAAGACAAGAACTTTTAAAAAGCAAAATTTAGTGCACAGTAAAATGTTAAGACTTTTTTCCTTCTTGTTGTATTAACAGAAATAAAGAGGTTCTCTGAACACAGAATTTGGGCACGATTTTTAGTATTTGCCTCTATCCCTTTACTGTCGAATCAACCAGGATTATTACATAGTCAGCTGGATCTGGTTTCTCCTGAAATAAAGAGGCAAACTCAAATTCATAATTTCGACTTAAGCAGATTATGATCTCATATGTGCTGACCTGCCTTTGGAAGGCAAGAACTGCTCTAATTATTCCCATTATTCTTTTCATTCACAGCACAGTGATACTCAGTAGTTATCATGGCTCCCTCCCTCTATCACTCCCACCATTTAAAACCAGAAGCAAACACCAAGCCAGTATTACCATTCCTTTTCCCTACTGACAAGAGGACTGAAATAATTATAAAAATAGAGTTTTCAGCAGCACTGTCTTACTATAGACTATATTCCTAGAAGTGATAAAGTCATATATAACTATTTATTATCTGTACCTTCCTTACTCTCCAAAGAGGTTTTGAGAGTCACTTCTTAAGTAGGCTGATGAGAAGTCCAGGGTGCCCAAGTAGGAGAAATCGGTCTGGGGCAAAGGGGAAGAAAAGAACAAACTTCTCTACATTCCTCAGTCTTAGTCACATTTTTGTTTTTGTTTTTTGTCCTTTAAGCCCAGAGCTGATGATTACACAACAAAACAACTCATCTTAAACTCTGTACTAAGGATTATACAACAACAAAGTATCCTGCTTGAGGATGTGTTTTTCCTTCTTAAGAACCTTCTGACTAATCCTGTTATCTTAAAATGTAAATTGTGGGAGTGGGTATGGTAACACCTTTACAACCTTGAGACATTCTTTGATTTACTGTAATAACCAACTGAAAAAGTATCTAGCTCCCTTGCTAAGACTAGCGAGGAGGGCACTCTCCACACCCTTCTAATGTCTACATCAAAAGCCTTCTCTGTCCTTTTACACTGTAATAAAACTTCTGCCACACAAGAGCCCTGAGTGGTCAAGCCTGGTCCCTGATCCTGAAGCTAAATTTTCTTCTTCAGAGACGACCAATCCAACACCGTTCACCATAAGCTATCAGTTTGAAGCATATAATACGGTAATATAAATGAGCTACAAAGGAAAATAAAGAGCAGGAAGTTAAGATAAAACAGTAAATAAGTACACAATAAGCTGGTTAGGGAGGATAAACACCAAAGTACTAAAATCATCTACATCCACCAGAAGCAGTTATGGCATATACAAAACAACTAGATGTAAATTATATCAAAGACAGTCACCATGAGGGGAGGAGAATACAAAAGCAGGTTTTTTAAAATGCACTTGAAATTTAGAGGTCAGCAACTTAAAACAATCCTATATATATATATAGAGCACTATACCAAAATCTCACAGTAACTGCAAACCAAAAATCTGTAATAGATAACACACATAAATAAGAAAAAGGGATCCAAACATAACCTAAAGTATGAAAGTATGGAAGTATTAGTCACTCAGTCGTGTCCAACTCTGTGACCCCATTGACTGTAGCCTCCCAGGTTCCTCTGTCCGTGGGATTTGCCAGGCAAGAATACTGGAGAGGGTTGCCATTTCCTTCTCCAGGGGATCTTCCCAACCCAGGGATCAAACCCAGGTCTCCCATATTGCAGGCAGACTCTTCAACATCTGAGACACCACGGAAGTCCAGAAACGTAACCCAAAAAGGCCATCAAATCACAAGAAAACAAAAGAATTATAATGGGGAAAAAAGACCTACAAAACAAATCCAAAACAATTAACAAAATGGCAATAAGAACACATATATCAATAATTACCTTAAATGTAAACAGACTAAATTCTCCAACCAAAAGGCTGGCTGAATAGATACAGAAACAAGACCCACATACATGCTGCCTACAAGAGACTCACTTAAGATACAGAGACACACACAAAGTGAGAGGGTGGAAAAAGGTATTCTAAGCAAATGGAAAAATCAAAAGTCAGAGTAGCAATGCTTGTATCACACACAGACAAAATAAGAGGGTGGAAAAAGGTATTCCATGCAAATGGAAAAATCAAAAGTAAGTTAGGTACAAGTCAGTCTGTTTGTACCAGACAAAACAGACTATAAAGACTGTCACAAGAGACAAAGAACATTACATAATGATCATAGAATCAATCCAAGAAGATGAAACAACTATAAATGTATATGCAACCAACACCAGAACATCTGAATACATAAGGTAAATATTAACGGACAAAAAAAGAGAAACTGACAGTAATACAACAATGGTAGGGGACATCAAGTCCCCACTTCATCAATGGACAGATATCCAGAGAGAAAAGCAACAAGGAATCACTGACGGGCCGTGATTAGGACTCCACACTTTCAGTGCCTAGGCTCCCAGTTCAATCCCTGGCAACGTGGCACAGGAAAGGGTGCTCAATATTGCTAATTATCAGAGAAATGCAAACAAAAATTACAATGAGGTATTGCTTCACAGCAGTACGAATGGCCATCATTAGAAAGTCTACAGGACTTCCCTCGTGGTCCAGTGATTGAGAATCTGCCTGCCAATGCAGGGGACACACGTTCAATCCCTGGTCTGGCAAGATTCCACTGCCATGTAGCAACTAGGCCCAGGCACGGCAACCACTGAAGCCCATGCAGCCTAGAGTCTGTGCTATGTGACAAGAGAAGCCACCGCAATGAGAAGCCCTCACATCACAACTAGAAAGTGAAGTGAAGTGAAATGAAGTCGCTCAGTCATGTCCAACTCTTTGCCACCCTGTGGACTGTAGCCCACCAGGCTCCTCCGTCCATGGGATTCTCCAGGCAAGAATACTGGAGTGGGTTGCCATTTCCTTTCTCCAGGGGATCTTCCCGACCCAGGGATCAAACCCAAGCCTCCCGCATTGCCGGCAGACGCTTTAACCTCTGAGCCACCAGGGAAGTCGTTTTGTTTTTTAAGCCTACAAATAACACAGGCCAGAGAGGGTATGAAGTAAAAGGAACCCTCCTACACTGCTAGTAGGAATGTAAACTGTTGTAGCCACTATGGAAAACAGAACAGAGGTTACCAAAAAACTAAAAATAGAGCTACCAAATGACCCAGGAATCCCACTACTGGATGGGCATGTATCCAGAGAAAAAACTCAAAAAGATACATGCACCCCAATGCAGTATTAATAGCAATACTATTTACAACAGCCAAGGTATCAGTTCAGTTCAGTTCAGTCACTCAGTAGTGTCCAACTCTTTGGGATCCCATGAACTGCAGCACACCAGGCCTCCCTGTCCATCACCAACTCCCAGAGTCCACCCAATGCCATGGCCATTGAGTCAGTGATGTCATCCAACCATCTCATCCTCTGTCATCCCCTTCTCCTCCTGCCTTCAATCTTTCCCAGCATCAGGGTCTTTTCTAAGGAGTTCTTCACATCAGGTGGCCAAAGTATTGGAGTTTCAGCTTCAGCATCAGTCCTTCCAATGAATATTCAGGACTGATTTCCTTTAGGATGGACTGGTTGGATCTCCTTGCAGTCCAAGGGACTCTCAAGAGTCTTCTCCAACACCACAGTTCAAAAGCATCAATTCTTCTGTGCTCAGCTTTCTTTCTTCACAGTCTAACTCTCACATCCATACATGACCACTGGAAAAACCATAGCTTTGACTATATGGACTTTTGTTGGCAAAGTAATGTCTCTGCTTTTTATATTTTTTTATTTTTTATTCATCTGTATTTGTTACAACTTTTTAAAGCAGAATGTGACTTAAGCACTACATTTCCATTCACAAAATTTGCTCCAAGTTACTTTTCCAGCAGCTTTACAATATGCCTGGGCAGGCTTATAATTTTGTTACTCTAAACAATATTTTTCTTTGGAAAACAAGCCCTATGTATGGACAGCTACTCCAATCAAGTTGGTTCAGCTTAACACACTAACTTCTAGAGGCCTGGCACATGCAGTCGTTAACTACAGGTGATGGAAGTTTTAAAAAGTATATCCCAGAAGATGAAAACTTGCTTTAACAAGTGTTTCTTTTAAACATCACAGTATATACTTCAGAACACTTCAGTGACAGAAAATTTTGGTCTACTAAAGAATCCACTTGATAGCTAAACACTTCAGACCACCAAAGTTAACACAGGTTACATACACACCTTACAACAAACGTAACTACTTCCATCTGTTAAAATAAGCCAACATGAAACCAGGAAAAAACAACTAGCTCTGCTTCAGTGCTAAAAGTATCACAGTATCACACTTAATATAAAGAAATCTTATCATCCCCTTATGTAGTTACCATGCAATACAGATTTTTAAATGTTAACAAAAACAAAGAAATACTTGAAAACATAGAGGAAATGGAGACAGAGTGCTGAACACATAGCCAAGCGATCCTCAGGCAGCGCTTAGTCTACTTCTTCCATGCGGGACATGTCATCATCTCCTTCCAAGGGAGGCATTTCCTCAGTGACTGCAGCACTACTGTCATCAGCAGTGGGGTCATCCTCGTCAATACCGAGACCAAGTTTGATCATCCTGGAGATCCTGTTGGCGTGTGTCTGGGGATCCTCCAGACTGAAGCCAGAAGATAGGAGAGCTGTTTCGTACAGCAGGATGACCAGATCCTTCACAGACTTATTCTTGTCAGCCTCTGCCTTTTGCCTCACGGTCTCGATGATGGGAGTGGTCAGGGGTGATCTCCAGGTGCTTCTTGGCTGCCATGTAACCCATCGTTGAGTTGTCTCTCAGGGCTTGAGCCTTCATGATCCGTTCCATGTTTGCTG